TATTTAGCAGTTAAGTTTACAAAATATTTCTGAGAGAGAATGTATATTGCCATATGTTCCCCTAATGAATGTAGCTGCATTTTATTTATTTTTTTTTAAAGATTTTATTTATTTATTTGACAGAGAGAGAGAGAGCACAAGTAGGCAGAGAGGCAGGCAGAGGGAGAGGTTAGAAGCAGGCTCTCCACTGAGCAGGGAGCCCGACGTGGGGCTCGATCCCAGGACTCTGGGATCATGACCTGAGCCGAAGGCAGCTGCTTAACCGACAGAGCCACCCAGGAGCCCCAAATGTAGCTGCATTTTAAACAATATTTTCAGAGTTAGGATTAAGTGATATTATTTTCTTTATTTCATTAAAGTGTCACAGTGTTAAATAATTCACCAGAATCCATATAAAGTTAGCATTGTTTTTGTCTCTGCTGTGGGGAAAAGATTAAAAAATAAGGAAAAAAATATAGGGATCTCATGGGGCCTTTTAATCAGATCCTGGGGTAATTAATACATTTTTTTTTAAAGATTTTATTTATTTATTTATTTATTTGAGAGAGAGAGAATGAGAGAGAGCACATGAGAGGGGGGAGGGTCAGAGGGAGAAGCAATCTCCCTGCTGAGCAGGGAGCCCGATGCGGGACTCGATCCCGGGACTCCAGGATCATGACCTGAGCCGAAGGCAGTCGCTTAACCAACTGAGCCACCCAGGCGCCCTAATACATTTTTTTAAAAATTGGTGTTAAATGAAGTCTGCCTTCATGTGCTTTTTATATGTGCCCTACTATGTGTGTCAGGTTTATCTCATTTTAGGAAAGTGCACAAGAAGATGGAATTAACAGTGTGCAAATTTAATCAAACATCTAAGAAACCCACTGAAAGAAATTTCTTAGTACTAACTTCCTATTCCTTTTCTGTTATAACAAAATGGGATTAAAAATGGCAAACTGTTGCTTTCTCCGTACTAATTAAAATAATAATTTTGGTAAAGATAGAAGGAGGGCAAATTCCTATACTGAAAGCCAGCCAGAATAGAGTGGACAGAGCACTGGGGACTTAAGTCTGGCTTGATGACGCAGGGCCTTGAAGTTTAGATTATACACATACACACATTGTGGGCATGGTGGGGGTGGGGAGGAGGGTTGTAGATCATATATGCAGTCATGACAGAGAAATATCAGTGCCTCCTCCCACAATCCATGTTGCCAAAATAATGACTATGATAACAGCAACACTTCTATGTCATTTGCCTGGAAGTTCTAGCCTTCCTGGGTAAAGCCCAATATGACACTTAGTAAGATTTCACTGGAGTAAGGCAGACTTCTTATGATAGCCAGCTTCTGTGCGTATTTCTTTTACCTTGCTTGACTTATACACACACACAAGATCTCTATTATATGTTGTTAGTAATGTTGGTTTATACAGTATCCCTTCTTCTAACATAGGAGTATTAGAAATGTATCTAATTTATCCTCATTAAGAAAAAAAAGAGGGAAACTTTTCAATGGCCTGGAAATTTCTGTTTGGTGTTTCCTTCTTTCTCATTCGCTCAGAGTGCCAATCAATCTTTACAGAGCAATCTTTTTGTTTTGTTTTGTTCTGAACAGGTTATTTGCAGAAACTTTCAGCAATTCTGTCAGAAAAAAAAATTCCACACTACTCATTGTAACACGACATAGAGATTTATGGCTCTATCCTCCCTATCTTGCTGTTACGCCCCACATTACTCAGCATGTATCCACTGGAGGCCCCCGCGCAGTCCTCTCTCAAGGTGGTCTTGGTGTCCTTGTTCATGCTGTTTCCTTCACTCTGGCTGTTGTTCTCTCTTCCTTTCTCTGCATCCAAATCTTTTCCATCCCTCCAACTAAAATCCTGTCTCCTCTATGAAACTTCACCAGGTCCTCCAGGTCATTCTAGACCTCATTCAATGTCATATTATGAACACTTGGCTTATTCAAGTATTACTGGTAAAATATGAGGCATGGTGAAGTTTAAGCAAGACGAGGGTTCAGGTTGTTTGAGTGGATTCTGCCTGTTGGACCATCTCTGTGCCTTTTTGCCATTTCTCTCTCTCTCTCTCTTTGACTTTTCTCATCTTTTCTCTCTTTTTTTCTCCCTCTCTTTTAAATGTGAAGAGACATGTCCCAAGCATGGATGTACGTGGAAAGCCATACTTTGGAGGAGGGAAGCTAATAGATGGCAACTAAAAGACTGTGGAGAGTATCTAGTCTTTCCACCATCAAAAAGAAACAAAACAAAAAACCCAAATGCCACAGTCAATCAAATCAAGAGAACTGAATTTATTATTAGGGCAATTCCCAAAGGCATATTACAGCCTGAGATTCTGAGAGAAAACAACAAAACCCTGAAAAAAAAATAATTAAGTCAGTTCATCAAGGAAAACAATGACATGGTATAAAATAAAATAATTGAAAAACATATATGGTATTGAGGTAGGGAGGTGGTAAGAAATATAAACCTGGGAGATAAGAAATTTAGAATCAATAAAGATTTATCTAAAGTTATGGAGAGAAGAACAGTGCTTGCTTATACCTGAAGAGAGGCAAGGTGAAGCCTTCACCATTGCCTAGAAGAAATACTTTTTTTAAAAAAATATTTTTATTTATTTATTTGCGAGAGAGACAATGAGAGACAGAGAGCATGAGAGGGAGGAGGGCCAGAGGGAGAAGCAGACTCCCTGCTGAGCAGGGAGCCCAAAGCGGGACTCGATCCCAGGACTCCAGGATCATGACCTGAGCCGAAGGCAATCGCTTAACCAACTGAGCCACCCAGGCGCCCAGCAAGGATCACTTTTAAAAATAGAGTCTCCTCGGGCGCCTGGGTGGCTCAGTTGGTTAAGCGACTGCCTTCGGCTCAGGTCATGATCCTGGAGTCCCGGGATCGAGTCCTACATCGAGCTCCCTGCTCAGCAGGGAGTCTGCTTCTCCCTCTGACCCTCCTCCCTCTCATGCTCTCTGTCTCTCATTCTCTCTCTCGCAAATAAATAAAAAATTTAAAAAAATAATAATAATAAAATAAAATAGAGTCTCCTTATTCTTCCAAAATCACCATGATAAAGGAAAATAAAGGTCTTCTGGAAGCCCCTTTACATTCAGTAGCCAATGGTAAGCTATCACTATGTTTTTAACTTTCTTTTGTTGAGTCATCAAACTTTCCTCCTCCCCTACTCCTTCCAGGGTCAACAGACAATCTTTTATTAAATCATGGGACTGTATTTGCTATGTTTGGTTTTGATCCAGCTTCTTTATTATCTCTCCTGTTGTTGTGCACTACACTGTTTTGTAGACACACCAGATAAAATGGGGAAACAAAACCAGGAGACTATTCCCAGACTGTTTGCCAACTGATTTTAAACTGTTGCTGGATACTAGTACCCAAAATAATGAATGTTTTTTATTTCCAAGTCTTGTAGAATAGAAATGGGGGGGGGGGTTAATTTCTGATTCTGTCAAATGCCTTCATTCTTTCTTTGCCTTAGTTTCCTGATTTGTTTAATAGTGTCCCGAATTTTGTTTTCTTTTCTTCCCTAATTCTATGTAGTGCAAATGCCTTGAATATTTTTCCATCAGTCCATCATAACAAGAGAAGCAGGAAGGATATATGTATAATCATTTATAATCCTCCAGATCTTGCTATCAGAATTCCTTAGTTTCCAATTGTAGTGTCTCAGGAAGTCTATGAAACTATGCCAGTTCACAAAGTAAACCTTGCAGAGTTGGTCCCTGGACAAGTGAGGCCCAGGGAATTTCAGTAAGTTGCCACAAGACATATGGCTGGCTAGGGTCAGAACTCATGAGACCTGGAATTCAACTTTTGCCATTCTCAATTGAACACTTAATTTTCACTGAAATTTCAGAATGCCTAAGCAGACTTAAGGTCTGGATTGGGTTTCTCTCTCAGTCCAGTATAATCTTTGGAAACATATGATCAGAAAGATATGAAGATCTTGAACTATTTCACAGGAATTTTGGGTCTGATTCTACAGAGTCTGAGACCTAACCTTTTCCTTCAGCAGAGCCACATTTCCAAGGACCTCAGCCACAACCTACTTTCTTCACAGTTGACCCAGGTCAGAGTTGACACAGCTGAAACATTCTAGAGTATATCCACATCTCAGGTTGAACCAGGACACAGTGGGGTGGGAGAAGAGTGTAAGATCAACCATCTGTCCAAAGGGCCACACAATCATTAACCCAGTAACACTGCAGGCCAGTATCCTCTCTCACATTAGTTATAAGTAAAATATTTTCAAAATGTAATTTTGCTTTATTCTTAATATATATATTTTTTAATTTTGCACAAAACAACTAAAGACTCATCATCGAGTACCTTGCCTTTGAATCACAAGTCAGCCCGGTGTGCACGTGGGTTTTGTTAAAATCTGCACAAGACTGGAACATTTTGTTTCAGGAATGTGAGATTTACAAAATACAAATGTGCCAAGAGCCTTCCTCCAAATTGCTCTGGGAGTAGGCAGGGAAGTTACTGACCTTCCGAGGGAGGGAGAGAAGACAGGGCAAGTCTGAGTGAGGTAACGCCCTTGGGTGAGGTCCTAGGAAGATAAAAAGATCACAAGGATAGAGCGTATTAAACATTTCTGCGCTCCACTGGGTCTCTTCCACAATAGAGAGGAAATGGAGGTGTGGACGCCCAAAAGTTCCAGTCTTTAGACTTGCGGTGGGGGCAGCAAGCAGGAAAGGGCCGGCCTAATCCGCCGCGTGCGGCAAACCCAGGAGCGTTCACTTGATTTTGTTACAGACCTGCAACATTGAGCCCCGAGGTTAAACTGGCTGGAAACGAACTCAGAACCGGAAAAACCAGGCCCGCACCCAAGGAACGCCCGCCCCACCCCAGCTGGATCCTGCGTGGGACCTGGGGCGGGGGCAGAGTCTGGCGCGGCGCCCGGCCCCGCCCCTCCCGCCCGCCTCCGGCCCCGCCCCTCTTGCCCTCCCCACTCCGACCCCGCCCCCGGGGGTGAGAGCCGTCTCCGCCCTCGCCCGGGAGCTGCGAGGCTGCGGGAGCGGTGCCGCAGTAGCCGCCGCAGCCGCCGCGGAGCCGCTCGCCCCTGTTCGAGCGTAGCTGAGCCGCGCCCGGAGGCCGGCCGAGGAGGCTGCAGTCGCAGCCAGGAGCCCGCAGCCCCCGCCTCGAGCCCGCCGCCGCCCTCCGAGGGCGCCCCAGGCCGCGCCATGGTGAAGGTGACGTTCAACTCGGCTCTGGCCCAGAAGGAGGCCAAGAAGGACGAGTCCAAGTGCGGCGAGGAGGCACTCATCATCCCCCCCGATGCCGTCGCGGTAGACTGCAAGGTCCGCGGTCCGGGGAGGTCGGGGGAGTGGGCGCTCGGCCCGGCCGGCAGGGGTGCGCGGGGCCGGAGGCGGCTTTGCGCGCTGAGGAGGCTCAGGGCACGGGCGACGGTCCCCGGGAGAGCCGGGCTGTCCTTCTGGGGTGCTGCTCTTTTTTGTCCGGCCGCAGCTTCTCCTTTGTAAGAAAGTGCGTGTGCAGGAAGCGGTGCCTAACACGGGATCGGGGGCTTGGGAGGCCTGGAGAGAGGGATCGAAGAATTGTGCCGAATTCACGGTCGTTGTGCAGTCGGGGGAATGTGCGTGGGGTCGGAACTGGGTCGTTCCACCTGGAGACCGGCGGCGACGTGCAAAACGACAAAAACAACAACAGAGTTTTGCATTTCCTCCCAGTATAAATGTGCCTAAAATGGCTGACATCATTCCAAGCCTAAACCTCCGTTGCTTCCTACTTTCGTTTCTAGGCTGAACAGCACTTGGACTAAGACCAGCTGCTGCAAGCCTCTTAATTTTAAAAGCATTTTCTTTACCTCCTTTTCCACGGCCCTTCGCTATTGGCAGGTGAACTTCACATTGGGGTCTGGAGAGGGGGCTGAGGAGCGGTGGAGGGGAGAAAGTGAGGTGAAGATCTGTTCAGAATAGGCTTTGGCTATTTTTATAATTAAAACAAATATTCCCCGTAAAGATCAGTAATTACTGTGTAGATGTTAGTGTAAAACCCACGACTGGTTTTCAAATTATATAAACATATTTATGAGGACCCCTTAACGCTAAGTGAAACTAAACGGGAGAAACTCGTTCACGTCCCTTATAAAATTCTCCTTTATTTTTACAAAATCCCTCTTTTTAGTCCTAATTAAAAATCAGAAGTGGAACTATAATTGTGCTAACTTTTAGCGGATTACAATAATAATTTATTTAGAATATGATTGTAATTGTCTCAGGAGTTAAAAAGGAAAGCCTCATAGCCTATTTTCTACGAGATGTTTAGGCTGCAAACATTCAGTCCTGTAGAAATTAACTGTAAGAAGTTCTTTATGTTGCACAACTTCCTTTTTCCTTAGCATTTTTCAAGATCTGTTATCAGTAGGGTAAACTTAAGTTTTCTAACTTCAAAAAACCCAATAATTGTGTGCAGGTGTGAGTAATAAGTGTTTTTTTTTTAAATACGGTATAATGAAAATTACGGTTGAAAAATATGGCACTAATATACTATTAAAAAATTTGATACTGTAATGTTAATTTGGACGTGCCTGTACTTATTTTTTGGAAATGTTCTAGTTAAAAACAAAACCAAGGGTTGATTTTTAAATGACTGCCTTGCCTTGAAATAGGAACAGTGAGCTAAAAGGATTCCCTAAAAGGATTAAGAGTTTTGGTATTGGTATTGTTTTTCTGAATCCATTGCAAACAGTCTTGGTCTTAAAAGAAAATGTCTGGAATGCACAGAGGATAATTCCAGGAGCAAATTATTATCTTAGCTCTATGTTTATCTAACATTCATTGTACCTAAAATAGATTGTCAAGTGCCCTGTCATAACAATCTCAGATACATATAGAAATTAATCCTATTATATATCTTTTAAAAATCCTGTAAATAAATGTAATTCCTTCCCTTTAAAAAAGAGGGAGAAAGCATCGGATGATGTCACTTCAGAGGGCTTTTCTCTTGATCTGTATTGAAGGAGATTTGGAACTCTGGATAAAAGTCAGAATTAATTTGCTAGGCAGCTGTAAATCTGACTTTAGACATTTTCTGTCATTCCTGAAACATTAACCCCGTGTTCAGATTCTCAGAATTTCTCACAGTTTCACCATATTCAAATTTTGTGGTCACAGCAGCTGTGAAAAAGTAACCATTCGTAGCTCTGTGCATTTTCTGTTTCTGTTTTCTTAGATCCCATACCCAAATAAAAATACTGGAACTAAGCTCTGAGGGCAGAGTATTCCTTTGTAACCACGCAGCAGTCATGGGTGAATAGGCAGATTAAAAAAAAAAAAAAAATGACATTCTTTTTCTAGCTATAAGCTCAAAGACTTCTTTTCTTCAGTGAGTGACAAAATATTGCTCTACATCAAAAGTGGAATCCTAATAATCGGTCACTTAACGGTAAATGAAGACTTTGCTTAATAACAGATATTGTGAAAGAACTTCTGATCGCTTCATCTGCGTTTGGGCTGTGATTACATAATGTGCTGTAGCTCCTTGGGGTGACTTTATGGTAACCGCCGAGTTTGCCTGGATTCTGCACAGAATCAGCCTTCGTGTGTTTGCCTGGGGCTTATCCTTGCCTGCCTGGTTGGTTGAGAGAATCAAGTAAAGCTAGTTATGGACCAGAACTCCTGAAGAAGAAATTTTTAGTACCTTTAAACCCTTCTGGACCACAATATCCAAATGTTTATTTCTCAAAATGTACACTTTTTCAGGGTCACCTGCCCTGGTGTCAGCTTGGATTCTGGTTTAAAAATGCAGATTCTACTACCTTAGAATCTACCAAAGAATTCTGGTCTCTGTCTACCACCAAGAATGCTGATCACTTCAGTCAGCTGTCTTATGTAACACCCATTCCAGTACTTCAGTGTTGCTCCTGTCTCTTGCTATTTCTTTAGCTCTTTTCTCATTGCAGGTTGAGAACCCTCTGAAAGCGGTTCCATTGCCCTGTTTTTCAGTCTTGCCTTTCAGTAGCTCTCAACTCCCAACAGTCATGTCTATTGATGATCTCAACTAGCTTGCTATTTACTCTTCTTTTCCTGCATTTTCCCCTTAATTTTGCACCTTCCTCTGCCTGTCCCAACTGGCACAAAGCTCAGAGATACAGAAATAGCAAAGAGTAGGACCTCTGTTGTTTTTTAATAGGTGAACTTGAAATTATATGCATGTTTTATGTTACAGGTAGCAATTCATTTATGTTTGTGTCTAAAATTTTTTCCTTTGGAAAGCTGTTATTTATGTGCAAATATCAAAGAAAATACCTAATGGACTGAGTCAGAAGTCCCTGTTTTGTCATTACATAACTGCTTGATCTTGGGCTTAAGTTTTTAGTTTATATGTAAAAATGTGAGGACCACATGGTCTGTAAGGACTCTTCCAGTTTTAAAATTCTCTGAAGCTGTTAGGATTACATAATTATATTTGTCAGGAATTAAATTGTTTTAATTGTGAAAAATAACAGCTACTTCCTCATCCTAACCAGACTGTTCCCTTTCTTCCCCATGTTTATTTAGCATGTTACATTGTTCTTCGTATTAAGTAGCAGTGGGTCAAAGAGAAAAGAAATGGACCAAGGTATTACGTAATAAAACCAAATTTTTATTTTGGGTTACCTCACTTTAGAGCAATCGTTGTTAACACCTCTTTTTTTGTTGGTTTTTTTTTGGTAATGCCTAATTGTGAAACACGTTTCCCAGTATCAGGGCTCAAAAAGCTTAAATTTGGGGGCGCCTGGGTGGCTCAGTCGTTGGGCGTCTGCCTTCAGCTCAGGTCATGGTCCCAGGGTCCTGGGATCAAGCCCCGCGTCGGGCTCCCTGCTGGGCGGGAAACCTGCTTCTCCCTCTCCCACTCCCCCTGCTTTTGTTCCCTCTCTCGCTGTGTCTCTATCAAACAAATAAAATATTAAAAAAACAAAAAAAGCTTAAATTTGCGTCATAGATATCCCTGCAAACTGTACTGCCAAAAAATAGTGTTGCCCTTCCTCGACCCTGCATCATAGTTGTAGACGTAAAAGGTTGAGAAAAGGAAAGTGCTTGCGTAGGAGAGAAGATGGGGCAGGATGGAAGTGGGGAGAAAAGTGCAGGACTACTAACCCAGTTAAGTTCTGAGTTACCCATTAGAGCATGGCTCTTTTGACCCTAGTTCTTTGCACTTTCTGGTATTTCCTGTATGCATATATTTATATATATGCTGACTGATGGGTTTGGTAATTTCGCGTTTTGGTGGTGTTTTGGGGGAGGGTTGGGGATAAAGAGGAACATAAAATACACGATGAGGTTTACTGATTTGTGTTGACCTTTAGAGAAGGGATTTGGGAGCTTGGTTCTTTTTAAAGTACGTATCATTACCTAGTTGTGTAATTTAGTGTTTGTAAACAGTGGCCAGTAAAAACTTCACAGTTACAGCATTCTGGTTCTCCATGAAGGTATTGATAGCTGAAGTGTGAGGGTTTAGTACTGGGAGATACATTAATTGACGCCCCGCTGCTGCTGCATGCCACGTGACTTGGCAGGCCCGGACCCCCGCCCCACCGGTATCCGTGCAGCGGGTTGGCTGCTGCAGAGGGTGGACAAAGGTTGGACGAGGTTGCGTGTTGCACATTTGGAGGACAAGTTTCCAGCCTGGGGCTTCACAGTGTCATCTTAAACATTGTTTGGACTAAACAGAAGCCGGTATATTATTAGCAAAATCATAAGCCCGTGAGATGTTGTGGCATTCAGCTCTGCCATGTAAGAGGTTACTAAAGCTTGACTTGCTTTAAATGTTCATCGAAAAATGTAGTAAGTAGTAATTCTGGGACATTTTATTTCTCTTGTTCTCTTGTTGTGTCTGGGGTGTGTATTTAAAAGGCATTTTTTTTCCAAAAGGAAATACTTTCTGAATTGAGATTATAACTAAAGCAACTTCGACTGCTTTTCATACCATAGTGTCAGTAGAGGAAGATCCAGAAAATATTTGTCTTTTCAAATACAATATTGATGAATTCATCCTCCTAAACTTTTAGGTAAACTTGGCAATTTTTATTAGAACTTAGACTGAAGGAGTTAAGGACTTGGCCATCAAAGGATTTTTTCAGGTCATACATAACTACTGCCTGTTAAAGGATTTGACAGTTCCGAATTTCTCAATGAGGTGGTTTTTGTCCAAAGGATGTAGAAAATATTAACACTGGAGCTAGTTTTTCCAGAAGCTTATGTATAAAGTTATTCCCTGGCTGTCTTATTTTCTTTGCATAAATCTTAACAGTGAATGTTTTTACAAGGTAGATGGGTGAAAGTTGAAAATTAGAAATTTT